ATTTTGCTGTTATTATATGCATTTTTAATAAAAGATTGATACCAACGGCTAAATTCCCAATGATAATATAAAGTTTTCTCGGAACCAAATTGTCTTCCTTAGATGGTATCAGGTAATACTTTCAAAAGTAATTAATATTAATAAATTAATTATCATATCATCTTTATTATAATTAAACTAGAGTGACGAGTTACCACCACCATTGAAAAGATTTTCTTTTATGAAACAACTGGTATTAGTATAGATTTTTTATAAAGAAATCTTGCGCACGCATTTTATTTTTTTGTTGTTTTACAAAAAATTATATAAAAAATATGAATAGAATTCATATTCATTATTTTTTTTGATTGTTCATGTAATAATTTTTTCTATTATTAGATGTTTTATTGGTGTCTTTTCTTTTATAAATTTTTTTTTTGGCCCATTTGTAGTAGCAACAGTGGCATCATCATCACCACCACCATCATTATTTTCCTTGGTTTTAACAATAATAATATCAATTTTATTATCATCATCTTTCATTATTATCAAAATTTCCTCATTATTAAGATTAATAATTTCTTTATTAATTATTTTTGAAATTGATTTTCTGTTGTTTTCTCCTGGGGCATTCCAATTATAGAGTGTTGTTGATGATTGTGTTAAAGAAGATCAATATCCAATTCGCCACAAAAAGTAACAAATTATTTGTTTTATTAGACATCTTTGATCAATGTTTAAATATCTACAATTAATTTGATATCCTTTATCCTCGGCACCTTTTATCCACTCTTTGACTTTTATCTCTATATATTTTTAATTTTTGACATCATATCAGTCATGTAGATATTTAAAGCACCTAGATGTAAAATTTTAGTTTGCTTTGCTGAGACAAGGCATTCAATAATATATAATCTAATCATAAAAGTTTTACCTTTATTTCATTTGTTTTAGAAAAATGACTTTCCCAGATATTTCATAATTGCACTTTCCACTAACTTATCTACAAATAAGGTATCTGTGAATTTTTATTAAAAAGATGTCATTTTGTTATTGTTATTTTTTTCCACTCTTTTAACGGCCTTAGCTTCAAATAACTGTGGAATTATTTGTTTCTTTGGTGTTAATGATTGAATCAATCACACGAATAGTAGTCAATTTAAATGGCAGTGTCTTTAAGAATGTATTTGAAATAATGTTATTAAATGTATAAAAATTTAATATTGCAAAATTGTTTTGATACATAAATCTCAATCCAAAATCAATCATATTTATATACTTTAAAAATTTCTTTGTTTATTTCTTTGATAAAAAATAAATTTATAAATTCAAATAGATTGGATTTTTAAAGAAAACAACAAAAATCAATCTGGTGCAACATTCAGGATTTTTTTGATTTTTTTCATAAAGTTGGTTGCGTTGTGATAAATACTCATAATGTAATCATACCAGGAAGGGAAGAGAGAAGTCAACATGGCATGTTGATGTTGAGGAGATGTTGAAAATCAACTTTGATTTTTGGGGAAGGAATTTTCTATTTTTGAGAAATGTTAAATTGACTTGCAGATCAATGAATGTATTTATTTCTTTCGAAGGCTATAAAACCTTTCTACTTTCAATGACACCTGATAGCCTTCCGTATTTTCTCTTGCTAGTCTTTTAACTTTGCTTGATTTTTTCTGCCATCTTTTCCCGTGTTAAAACTAACATGAATTTAATCATTATTTACAAGAATAAGAAAAAAATTTTTTTTTTTTGGTCAAAATGTATTATTATCTATTATACCGAGATAAATCGTTAAGAACTATTACTAATGAAGAGAGACTTAACAAACAATTACTTTTTCAACCAATTATCTTAATATTAACAAACAATAAACAATTGCTTTTTCAATCAATTATCTTAATATTAACAAATAAAGAACTATTACTTTTCCGGTTAATTAATGGTGATGTGGCTCATATCAACCAATACAAACCTTGTTATAATTGGTTGTGCACCTGAAATGATTTGTAATAATAAAATGTTGAATTTACACAGCTTTAATTTTCATTGAGGATTTCCATACCTGACTCTTGGCTTTGTTTACATCAATATATCAATATAATCCGCGTGTGACGTAGATCCCATATTGTTATGGAACCCAAAGCAAGTAAGGTCTTAGAACTATATATTTAGAAATTTATTATTGGGAAAATTGGGAAAATTTTTGCGTCGCAAAATTGGAATAAAATTTTTCTTTAGGCAAATTTTTTAAGTATTTTTTTCTCTAAAAATAAAAAATTAATTAGTCTCCTCTTTCAATAATGGCCCCCCATTCTAAAATAGTTTTAGTCAAAGCTTATGCATTAGAGTAAGTTCACATTCATATTTTTTTTAATATAATTGAAATATAAACTCACTAATTTATGATATGTAGCTGGATCATGTGTGTTATATTTGGACTTGGATTCCTTGGAATAACTAGGATAGAGCCTTATCATCGATTATTTTCATTGGAGGATAAATCAATTCAATATACATATGCTGTGAAAGAAACAGTTCCAATGTGGTTGGCAGCTGTTAGTAAATAAATAAAAAGTTCTCTTATATTTCAAAAATTAATTAATTAACTAATTTTAGAACAAAATATTAATGTGTATAATATAGGTAATTGTTGTATTAGGACCATTAGTTGTCATGACAATTACGGCTTTAGCAATTAAGAGAAGCACGCATGATTGGCATCATTCTTGTCTAGGTCTTTTCTTATCTCTGACATTAACTCTTATTGTTACCGAAATTTTCAAAGTATGTTAATAATTTAAAATCATCCAACCTTTTCAAAATAATAAAGTAATAAATTTTATTTTATTTATTTATAGAATACATCGGGTAGGCCTCGACCTGATCTCATAGATAGATGTCAACCAGTACCGGGCTCGGTTGATTCTCCTGTATATGGTTTAAGTAATTCTTCAATATGTACTCAGACTGATGAAGCAATTATGAGAGATGGTTTTAAAAGTTTAGTATCTGGACATGCATCCAGTAAGTATGATAGATTAACATACTCATATATTCATATACTCAAATGCTTGTATTTTAAATATTCATACGTTCATATCATGTTTATTTGAAAATAGCTTCATTTGCTGGTATGGGTTATCTTAGCTTGTATCTTGCTGGAAAATTACATGTTTTTGATAGAATGGGCTACACATACAAAGGGTTTGTTGTGGTTACTCCTTTGGTCATTGCTATGCTTATTTGTATTTCAAGGACTCAAGACTATCGTCATCATTGGCAAGATGTGCTTGCAGGAAGTATTCTTGGTAACAGAATTATTTAATTAATTAGATTTATTTTATTAGAAAAAAAAGAATTTAACAAAAAAAAATTTTTCATTTTAATTTAAGGTATCGTATTATCAATATTTTCCTATTATCAATACTACCCCAGCCTTCACTCACCAGCCTGTGATAAGCCATACTCTGTCAGATTAAAGAAACAAAGGCGTTATCATAATGCAGAATTTGTATTTTCAGATGGTTCTAATTTCAAAGTAGAAGTTACCAGGGAAGATGGCACTATCGTCCATTCGGATAATAATGCTGTTTTGAATGATGCAGGTTTTGTGGAGGACCTTAGTAAAAGTTCTATTGGATCTGGAAATGTTTAAAAATGTTTTTGTTTTCTAATAAATTAATTCTTTCAATGTTTAATTTTTAACATATGTATTTAATTATAATATTTACAACAAAGTGTGCATTTAGAGTCAATTAGTGAATAAAATAATATCTTCCATTTCCATATTAAGCTTAAAAAGAAAACTTTTTATTAGCCTCAATCCAACACCTTTCATTGGGTAATTTACATTAAAACCGTTTTCTTGAAAATCGGGTTGAATTCATATTATTATAGTAATACGTGTTTCATTTCAATACAACTTGAAATAAGACACGTGCTGTCTGAATTCAACAAGTACTTTATTTAATCTTATACCTTGCCACAAAAATAAGTTAATTTTATCAATAATTATATTCAGCCTGACATTAAAAATGTATATCTTTATCAAACGAAATCTTATCAATCATACAATACAACTTTTGATTTATTATTATTGAAGTTCAATCTGATGATGCTTTTTTTACCAATAACTCTTCTCCGTACCCATCTTCAATAAAGTAACTCCAAACATCAATTTCTTCCATATTCAAATAATCTCATATAGTGGCCATCTTTATGATCTCATACTTATGTTCTTTGATCAAATAACTTGTAAATCTTCGTTAAAAAATAGCTCATTGCAAATCCAGAGATCATAAAACTGATATATATAATATGCTAATAAAAAATTTACTTGAATATATTTCAAATATGTAAAGGAGAAACATTTTCTTTTCAAAAATAATCACTCCAATATGAAGATCTAGCTCTTAATATAAATAATATGTGCGCTTTAAGTACCCAACTTTTATTTCCACATTGATATTTAACATTTCATTAACTGCTACTTGAGTTTACAAATTCGTTGAATAATTAAAGTTAACAACTTTTCTTGATTGTTAATATAAATTATTATAACATTTTCACAATATGGCACGCCATCAAATGCTGCGTCACGCTGCCAAATCCAAATCCCAAAATAGCAATGATACTCTGGTGTCACGGTATTATAAAATCACGTGACTTAATATCGTATTCGTTCGTTATACATATTAATTTCGTGCATGCAACTTCAAAATCCAAAAAAGGTTATCGAAAATACTAATTCAATAATTACGATAAGCATTACATTTTACCAAGAAAAAAATTTTTTGAACAAAAAAAAAAATAGGCTACACCGATTTTATTTGTTTGCTTTCTTACGCTAATAAAATATATATTTTAAATAAAAAAAGTTTCTTGAATTTTTAGAAATGAATTGGTTTATCATATGTGGCCATTGCTATAAAAAAATTTTTTTTAGGGAAAATAAAGTGAGAAATATTATACACATATATATATATTAACGTCAGTATCAATAATAATGATTATGATCACGTACCAGCTTCTTTTAATGCTTCAGATAACGTCTAAAAAAAAAAAAAAAACAAATAAACAGTAATTAGTAAAAAAAAAGGATATAAATTTAAATTTTATTCTCTTATATATATATATAAATACTAACTGGATGTGCATGGCAAGTTCTAGCTATATCTTCGCTACTTGCACCATATTCCATAGCTAGAACAGCTTCACCTATCATTTCACCAGCATTTGGTCCAATGATATGAATTCCTAACACTAGATCAGTTTCTTCATCAGATATAATCTTAACTACTCCTTCAGAGTCGTCATTTGTTCGTGCACGTGAATTTGCAGCAAATGGAAAGGTACCAACACGATATGGTTTTTTGGTTTCTTTAACTTGTTCTTCGGTTTTACCACACCATGCAACTTCTGGATGTGTATAAATTACTGAAGGTATCACATCATAATTGACATGTCCAAATCCACCTGCAAGAAATTCTGCAGCAGCTATGCCTTAATTAACATGAAAAATAAAATAAAACCAGATAAGTTCTTGCTTGCTTTTTATGGTTTCAAATATCAAAAAACATAATGTAATGCTTATAAACCTTCTTCTTCAGCTTTATGAGCTAACATTGCACCGTAAGTAACATCACCAATACATAAGATGTGTGAATGATTAGTCTTAAAATGAGAATCGATCTTAATTCTTCCTTTATCATCAACATCAATTCCAACATTCTCTAAACCAAGTTTTTCTGTATAAGGTCGTCTTCCAATTGAAACTAGTACAACATCGGCTTCTAACTTTATTTTTTATTAAATAAAAAACTTTTTTTAGAAATTATTATCCAAAAAAATTTTTATTAATTTTAAATATTGAATAAATAATTATGTGAATCAAAGCTACATACTGATTCTTGTGTACCTCCGTTGGATGCTTCAACATTTACATAAACTTTGCCATCTTTTTTTGATGCATCTATAACTTTTGTATTTAGTTTAAATTTAAGCCCTTGTTTTTGAAGTATTTTTGAGAATGATTTACTATATAATAACATTTACCAATATATTTTACATTTTCTCTTATTTCTAAAATACTTTATATATATATTAATTATTTAATTAAATCAACATACGCTAATTCGCCATCTATTCCTGCACCAATTGAACTAAGATATTCAACAACAGTTACTTCTGCACCAAGACGACTCCATACAGAACCAAGTTCAAGTCCAATAATGCCGCCACCAATTACCAACATTTTTTCAGGTACTTTATCTAATGATAGTGCTCCTGTAGACGTTACTATTTGTGTTTCATCAATCTTTATAATTAAAAATTTTTTTTAAAAAAAAATATATATATTAATAACAAATAAAATTTATTTTTTGATGTATAATATAACTTGATTACACACATCTAAGCCTTTAAATGGCGTTGCTTCTGATCCGGTAGCAATTATAAAATTTTTTGCTCTAAAAATACTCTCATTTCCATCCAAACCATCAACTTTAATCTCATTCAATCCGGTAAAGCGTCCATGACCTTTAATATAAGTTACACCATTTTTTTTGAAAAGTCCTTCAATACCTCTAGTAAGACCGGTGACTGCCTTATCTTTGGCTTTCATCATATTACCAAGATTTAACTTCACATCCGAAACTTGATTATTGTTATTGTTATTATTATTATTATTATTATCATTGTTATTATTATAGTTTTTGAATTTGTATGAAATGTGTATATATATATATATTATTATATGCTAATTTACTACTAATAATATTTCTTATATTAATAAATAGATCAATCAAAATCTAATGACTATGTAATATTTCTCATTAACAAAGAATAAGAAAATAATAATCACTTTTTAAAAAAAAATAATAATATATATGCTTTTACAACTTACCATCAATTCCTCTAGAGCTTAACTCATGTTTTGTTTGATGAAAGATATGCGAATTATTTAACAATGCTTTTGAAGGAATACATCCAACATTTAAACAAGTACCACCAAGAGCACCACGTTTTTCAACACATGCAGTCTATTTAAAAAAAGAAAAAAGAATTCATTAGTGTAAAATCAAAATAAACCTGATTTTCTTTTCTCTCCCTTTTTTTTAATATAAACCTTAAGTCCTAATTGTGCAGCTTTTATTGCAGCAACATAACCACCTGGACCTCCACCAATTATAATAGCGTCATATTCAATATCTTTATAAAACAAAATAAAAAAAACTATCAAGTCGACTTTCTCTAATAATTAAATAAAGAGAAATAGCTTGAAATTTACAATCACCTCATACCTGTTGGAGAAACTGAGTAAAAACGACGTCCAAACGATGAAAAAATTGAGGGTGTAACTGTTTTGTTAATATTTTGATGAATTACGATCTATGGGATATATATATATTTATACATTTAAGTCAATTATAGAATAATTTGTATATAGCTAGAGATAGCTATATTCTTACATTAACAAGGCATGAAGATCTTGATAAATATTTATACATTATTAAAATTTAGAATTCTTTATAATTAAAAAAAAAATTTTTTTAAATGATTATCAATTCAATTGACATTCTAAATAATAACAGGTAAAATCAACTATGATGAAAAAGAAATCCCTAATTGCTGCTGCACTAGCCAGATTTTCTAGCCACAATCACGTACAGCAGTGGGGTCAGTCCCTCCTGAAACTTCAGGCCTTTCTCATTCATATAACAAAAATATGTTCCTTAACACCACGATTCCGGATCTTCGGAACGCCCAAAACCGTTGAAGTTTACTAAATAATCCCTCTGGTTCTAAATTCATTAATAATTTTTTATTCCCATCTTTTCCTTAATTTCTACATCAGCTGCTTTACTGGACCAGCGGCATGTCCTTTAGAACTAGATGAAAATGGAGCATGGCTGTGATTATAAAATGAAAAATAATAATATACTAAATTAGTATTGTAAAGATGAATAATATTTACTCAAATGCTACAACAGTTTCCTCTTCGTTATTGGTAATCCTCTTGCACATTTTATCCGTCGCCTGGAGCCTTATCCATATAAAAAAGTGTATCGGAAAGATACTGCACTCGGAAACCACGGACTGAAGGAATAAAAGGTGTTGGTAAACCTGAAATGTAATGATTATTGTTAATTTTTTAAAAAATCAAAATGTCTGCCTCCGATAATAGCTTGTATGTATTTATTTTTATTCATGACTTCTCTTTTTTCTTTTGCCTTCTTAAGCCCTGCCATCTCATAATATTTTTCTGTGCTGCATTTAATTACTTTTTCGTTTAAGAAATAAAACCCTTCTTCTGGGTCAACACCAACTACTCTTGTCATCATCCCTTTTCACAGACCTTTGTAGTCACATACACTATCAGTTTGTAGATAATATGTAAATGTCCTATTTCTGGTAGAAAATTTTCTTATATTGAGCTTCTACTCCACCAATGATCAAAATTTTCTTTGCAAACTTCTCTAGTTACTAGAATGTTTAATAGAAACCTATAATTGGTATAATGCTTTGGGGTTGCGAGTAGCAATTATTTTACGTTTATGGCCGAATTCGAATCATCTTTTTAGCTACACTCATCAATTTAATTGCAAGTTTTTATATTCAATGCTTATCAATTAATTTATCTTATGAGTTTATTAAACTATTTTTTTGCTTACTGCCTCTTTTTTGTACCTACACAGTAAGCTTCATCGATCCTTATGGCACAGATAACTTACAATAAATAAACAAGTTAATCAACCATTACAAAACATGGCAACAACAGCTACACCTATAGAAGCTATGCAGGTCATTGGACCAGAAATTGCAAAGATTTCAAATTTTGTAGGTCAAGAGACACCTGATGATTTTATCAGAAAAATTGCGCAGGTTTTATCTTCAGTATGGGCCTGGAGTACTGATGGAAATGTAGTGGCGGGTAATCGAGCAAATGCTAGTATTAATCCAGCTTTACATCTCAATATATTGAAATCCAAAATGGGTGGGCAGTTTGCAACAGTACCTGATAATATTCCAGCTGATTTCCCTATAAATGCTAATCAGGATATTGATTCAGATGTACACTTTATCACATGGCTTAACGAGAAATTCAAAAGAGAAACTATTGGAACTATGCAATCTGCTCTAAGTGGTTTAATGCAAGAAAAGTTCACAGCCTTTGATACACCAGATAGCTATGAAAGAAAAGTCCATCCATATTTGATTGGGTTTGTGCAAAATGATCCTAATATTATTAATATACTTCTAGGACATCTACCTAATGATCTTTTTAATAGAATGGAGAATGCAGGGCCTGCTAATATTAATGTGTTCTTTACTACTTTAAAAAATCTCTGGATGAAACAAAAACCTGAATCTTCTCTAGCTAAAAATCCACAATTTACTCAATTCTATCATCAACCAGATCAAAATATTGCTCCACAACCATTTCAAAATATTGTTCCACAACCAATTCAAAATATTACACCTCAAGCAGTTCAACAACTGGTTCAATCAACCTATTATAAAGTTGATCCTAAAGCTTATGTTGAAGATACATATGGTCCAGGTACATGGGCTTTAGATAAAAGGGGGTTAGATACATATAACATGACCAGAGGTATTATAAATTGTGGTAAAAATATTTTGAAGCATAATCAGGGTAACATTGGAGGCATAGAATCATTAATAGATTGCATTATGCAAAGAAAAGTTGAACTGGAATCCAAAATTTGAAAAAATCAATAGATATAGGAATATTAGAGACACTGCCCAGAAAGCTATATATTGATAACGAAGAAAATCGTCCTGATGATCCTATGGATATTGATTATATTCTTTATAATCTCTCCAGACAACTTCCAATGGGTACTCCTAGAAGAATTGTGAATTGAATTAATACTAAAAAGAAGAAACCTAAAAAAAGTGCTAAGAAGACAAAAAAAGTAGTTAGGCATATCATCCACAATGATCAAGATAACACTGAATATGAAGAAATTTGTGAAGATGATGAAGATGAATCTGAGGATGAAATGTATACTACAAATTCTGTAAAAAAAAAGTCCTCTGATGAAGAATAGACCTAAAAAGAAGATTGTAACTTGGGATGTCTATGAAACTGATATGAAAGAGCTTAAGAAAGTACTAGAATATCTCATTACAATAGTAAAAAATCCATCTCATGAAAATACTTCTTTGAATGAGCAACAGCCTGTTGAAAATGCTTCTAATATTCAACCAGCTATTGAAATGTTAGTGAACCTATGGTATTTAATATCCTCTGAAAACCAGCTAGTGATGTAGTAACTATAAAATGCCGAATCAATAAATTAAGAATCCCTAGTGCTGTCCTTGATAGCAGTGCAAATTGTTCTATAATGTCATTAAATATCACTAAAAAATTGGGACTTGATATAGATACAAGTAGAACTACTTCTCTTGAAGGTGTCGCTACTGAATCAGATACAATTGGATGGGTATACAATATTCCTGTAAGTGTTGGATTCTTTACTTTATTAAATGATTTTATTGTTGTTGATGATAATAAACCTGCACTACTTCTTGGTACACCTTGGCTTGATAAAGCACAAGCAATAATAGATTTCCAGAGTCGAATACTTTATATAAGAAACTCTAATGATTTGCTCTTCAATGTCCCTATATCAGTACACAAGAGTAATGATAAAAAAAAATCGTAAATAATGCATAAATTGCCCAGACTAAGTCCAAAGCAGATCAGATATGCAATATTTGCCGCAAAGAATTTTGATTCCCATCAGATATGAACAATGTTTTAAGAGGAAAAAGAACCCATATGTACTCATTAATCCAATTCATTTATTACTTTCAAATTAGCTATGTAAGTACATTGTACTAAATCCCGGGGTTGTTTTTATTTTTTTTGTATTTGGGAGTATATACAAAAAAATAATTACGGAGTATGTAAAAATAATTATGGAGTTTTACAGAGTACATAAAAATAATTACGGAGTTTTATTTCATGTATCAAAACATCCATTGTGGAATAATTTGTTCTTCTTTCTTACATTCTTCATATAGCTCATTACCTAATACCATTGACATCAAACATTCTCGGCATAAAGAATTATTACTTTCAGATAATTGTTCCCCATGACGCTCAATTATTCTTTCATATGTAACATGAATGTCTCTATTTTCACCCTCATTTTGTAAATTTATTATTTCAATACCTTCCATTGGATGCTCACGATTTATATTTCTTTGGTTTCTTTCATGGGGAAGTGGGGTATTTCCAATACATTCAAAAGCTGTATCACGAATTAATTGACGTGTACTTGTTGGTATGCTTTGACGATTTGGCATTTTTTTTATATAGATAATATATAAAATATATATAAATTAAAATTTAGAGATATAATGTATACATTTAGGATTAACATATTTATTTTACATTATAATTTAGAGATATAAATGTTTACACATAGCATTAACATATAAGATCAATGAAAGTATCATATAGAAATTTCAATTTAGACTTATAAATATTTAGATTAATGCTTCTGAAAAAATATATTAAAACATGTGCGAAAATATTAAATTTAGCAATTTAACCCTTTCCCTTTGCATATATTCAGTTAAACTTAGCATGAAAGACCTTGATTATAAAACTCTTGGTGAACAACTTGAGCCTAATAAAGATATCATTGCTATCAATAGCAATTTCATTCACAAGACTTATGAAGGTTTTGAGAACTCTATTGCTCAACCCAAGAAGTTAACTGCTAAAAAAAAATTTTGATGACGATGCCTCTTTTCAAGGAATGTAAAAAAGTTGGTGATGTGACTTGTTTTCAATATTGCCTTGACTTTATTATATTAATTGATTCAAAGCATTATAGAATGTGCTATTTTCCTAAAAGTGGTAATTTACAAGTATTTGGGTCATTGATGAAGACTATCAATCTGGTGAACTTTCTGTTCAAACCTTTATTACATATCTTAAAGAATCTAATGGACTTGAATCAGTTGAAATCATTAAGAGTAGCCTTTCTTTATTAAACTTTAAGTATCATATGATATTACCTTCTAATTTACAAGTTGATATTTCAAAGCTTGATTCTATTCTCACTAGTGATTTGTATCCACCTCCATTTAAAATCGTTTATAAAGCTGATCCCATTGAATCTATCAGAAAGCTTTCAATTATATTTGAATCTAATGGAAAGAAAACTTGTGTTATTATTTTGCCTAGTGGGAAGATAAATATAATGTCTGCAACTTCATATGATGATGCTCTCAAAATCTATAACTTCTTAGGTGAAATCTTTGAATCTGAAGTGTCAAATCTACTTGCAATTGTTCCTACTTGTGCTCCTCCTAAGCCTAAAACTCCTGGTAAAAGGGGATGTAAAAAAATAAATTAATAATTACGTGGGCTGATTGTTTTAAGTTCCAAGATTCTCTGCTTAGATTTCTTCTATTTCTTTTATAAAATTATTGATTCTATCAGTAGTGTAATACTTGCTCTCTCAGG